ATGTGCCATCAAGGTTTGTCGTATCTTTTCTTCCAAGGAAGAAGCATCTTTGAATTTCATGACTGCAGTCACCATCTGCAGTGATTTTAGAACCCCCCAAAATAAAACCTGTCACTGTTTCCACTGTTTGCCCATCTATTTCCCATGAAATAATGGGACCAGATGCCATGATCTTAGTTTTCTGAATGTTGAGTTTTAAGCCAACTTTTTCACTCTCCTCTTTCACTTTCATCAAGAGGTTCTTTAGTTCCTCTTCACTTTCTGCTATAAGGATGGTGTCATCTGCATATCTGAGGTTGTATTTCTCCCTCTTGATTCCAGCTTGTGCTTCATCCAGTTGGCATCTGCATATAAGTTAAATAAGCAGGGTGACAATATACAGCCTTGACATACACCTTTCCCAATTTCGAACCAGTCCTTTGTTCCATGTCTGGTTCTAACTGTTCTTCTTGATCTGTATACAGGTTTTTCAGGAGGCAGGACTAGATGACCTGGATTAAAAGAGTAACTCATTTTCGACTGTATATTAGGACAGTGAGCAACAAATGTAAGATGATCCATGTATTTATCTTTTGCAATCTTAGAATACCTTAGAAGTATGGACTTCTGTCATGTTCAAGCCATTACTAACAAGACTGTGTTAACGTAAGCAACTTCCTAGCTTGATTCAAGTGCCATTTCAGTTTTTTCATTATCATTTTTCCCTCTTTCTTATTTAACAAAAATGTTGGTCCAGGTCAGTCCTTTATGTTCTTTTTCTTCAAAGCAAGCTTTGAGATGCTCTTTCTCTTCAGTCTCAGCTTATCCAAAGATAATTCAGACATATCTTGGAATATATAATTTTGAAGTCAGTGAACAAATCTCATACCTTAGTGTCTCCCATAGAAGCCCAGGGACATGTGCACAGATGTTTGTTAAATGATTTAAGAAAAGCACCATGGGGCAGATTATTTTCTGGGGTAATTTCTGGGGTAGTTATTTTCTGAGGAGTTAGGGTGTAGGTGAGATAGCATTTTAATGGCTGTAAGAAAAGCCAGTATATTAAAACATATGTTAGTTAATTATTTCTGTTTAACAAGTTCGGCAATTTAAGACCACAAACATTTATTACTTCATGTTTTCTGTGGGAATCTTTTCATGGCTTTGCTGGGTCCCTCTGATCCAGGGTCTCTTATGGGGCTATGATCAAGGTATCGCTGGGACTGCCCGCTGGGGGCGTGAGTGCTTCCAGCCAGGCTTACTCACCTGGGTGTTGGCAGGCCTCAGGTCCTGCTTGGCTGTTGGCCAGATGTTTAAGTCCCTTGCCATGCCACTTGAGCTTCTCCAGAGGGCTGATCACATGCAACAGCAGAGTCAGAACACCCAAAATAAGAAGCCACAGTTTTCTTAACCCAGTCTCTTCTGCCATACTCTTTTCATTAAAAGTGAGTCAATAAATCCCGCTTATACACCCAAGGAGAGACTTATACACAGGTGTAACTTCCAGGAGGTGGGGTCATTGAGGCCCATTTTATAGGTTGCCTACAATAAACCATATGCAGAAATCTGTTAAATATGCATTGGTGTTTCAGCTTTGATTTTGCTTTTTTACTTTTATCCATCTTTGCTGGTACTGCTGTTATCTTCCCTTCACTCACTCATTGAATTTCCTTTCACCTGAGTAAAATCTACCTAGATTTAGTCAATTATTTGTTTGTTTTGACAGTCACCTTACTTTTGCAAAAGAACAAATTAAGGTCCAAAGAAGGTACTACCCAAAGACACACATATTTTAAATGAGGTGTTTCTTGGTTCCAGTGACCATTTTCCACACATCTTCTGTTTGCTAAGGGACAAATTAGCCCTTTAAAATCATGGTAGTCCTATAACCTTCAACAAATGATCTAGTTTCTCTAAATCTTTATTTTTTTGTCTATGAAATGTGGAGGACAAGCATAAAAAAAATCTACCAGAGAGGAACTTCTAACTTTGGCTGCATGAAAAGTTTGGTGGATGGTCTCTGCAAACAGTACACACACACACACACGTCGTATATGTATATACACACGTATCAATACCCATATACGTATATACGTAAATAACTAGGCGGAATTGCCCTCAACTATTTGGGCTTTGGGAATTGACCAAAGGCAGACAACAAATTGAAATGTATTTATTCTTAGGAAAGCTACTAGAGCTCAGGTAAGAATAGTGGAAGTCTATACCACTCTTGAATTGAGACCCTTATAGCAGTAGATCAAACCAATCAATCCTAAAGGAAATCGATTCTGATTATTCAGTGGAGGGACTGATGCTGAGGCTCCAGCTCCAATACTTTGGCCACCTGATGGGAAGAACTGACTCTTTGGAAAAGACCCTGATGCTGGGAAAGATTGAAGGCGGGGGAGAAGGGGATGACAGCGGATGAGATGGTTGGATGGCATCACTGAGTCGGTGGATGTGAATTGGAGCAAACCCCAGTGAAGGACAGGGAAGACTGGTGTGCTGCAGTCCACTGGGTCACAAAGAGTCAGACACGACTTAGTGGCTGAATAACAACAACCAGCAGCTTGGTGTCTTAGGAGGGTAACTCAGTTAGGGGCAATGAGTAACAACCTGTATCTGTCAACTAAATGTGATGAACTTTGTAGGAAGAAAATGGTTAAAACCCACATATTTGCAAGTTTCATATTGTGGTTCCAGTTGGGATGAGGTGGGGATCAGCTAGGAATTTAACCAGTGGACCTTGGAAATGAGAGACCCATAAAGGGATAATAAGCTCTTCACATATCCTTGGTTTACTCAAACTATGCACATGTCTTGGGGAGACTTGAGAGTATTTAGCAGAAGGCAAGGGCCAAAGCAACCTTGAGAATAAGCCTTGAATATGCTCTTCCCAACCCATGCACAGATTGAAGGGCAGGCTTGAGGTGTTTGAGCATTTTTTTGCCCAAATTTAGACAGGGAAGCCACGCTAAAGAAATACGAATAAGAATTAAAACTTGAGCAGAGACATGCAGACAAACATTCAAACTTCAGATCCTACCATTTAAGGCCAGGGAGATTAAAGTTGAAACAGATTTCAGAGAAGTAAATCAAATTCCAGAGTTGCTACAATATGTTACCTAAAATGACTGGTTTTGAATGAAAAATTATGAGACATGTAAAGAGACAGAAAAAAGTGACCTATACTGAGAGGAAACAAAACAGTTAATAAAAATTGAGTAAGCACAGGTATTAGACTTAGGAGATAAAAACTTCAAACTATTATAAACATGTTAACAGAATGGAAAGAAACATCATTCAAATTATAAGAGAATATAACATTGACCCAAAGAATGGAAAGTTTCAACATAAAGAAATGGAAACTAAAAAAGCATTTTCCGATGCTATTGCAAATAGAAGTGCTTTTCTTTTTTACAATTGTGTTTATGTAACTATGATTGCACAGGCTGTCTCTAGTTGCAGTGAGTGGAGGCTTCTCTTGCAGAGCACAGGCTCTAGACTGAGTGTTGAGTAGCTGTGGTGCACGGGCTTAGTTGCTTTTCAGCATGTCTAATCTACCTGGATCAGGGTTCAAACCTGTGTCTCCTGCATTGGAAGGCGGATTCTTATCCACTGCACCACCGGGAAAGTCCTTCCTTATTTTATTTCTTAACTGTTCATTGATAGTGTATAGAAATAGTTGCTTATTAGCTCTAAGTTTTTTTGTGTATAATTTTTCTATATAAGATCATGGTAATTGTGACTATAGAACATTTTAATTTTCTAATCTGAATGCCCTTTCATTCTTTTCCTTATGTAACTGCCCTGGCCAGAGTCTCTAGTACAGTGTTGCGTAGAAGTGGAGACAGCAGAAATCTTTGTCTTGTTCCTCATCTCAGGGGAAAATATTCAGTCTTTGACCATTAAGTATAATAATAATATAATTTAATATTATTTAATATAATAATACATTTTAATATATATTAAATTATATTATTATAATTATATAATTATGATTATGTTATTATTATATATAATAATATAATTTAATATAATAATAATGGCAGGATTTCTACACGTGCTATCACATTAAGGAAGTTTCCTTTCATTCCTAGTTTCCTGAGTATATTTGTCAAGAAATGGGATTAGATTTTGTCAAATGCTTTTTCTACATTAATTGAAATGGTTGAGTTTTTTAAACCTTTATTCTATTAATTTGGTGTGTTAAATGGATTTATTTTTGCCTGTTGAACCATCTTTGCATTCTTGGGATAAATACCACTTGACCATGGTGTATGATCCTTTTAATACGCTGCTTGATTTACTTTGGTGATATAGTTGGCTCTTGAACAACATGGGTTTGAACTGTGCAGGTCTTCTTACATGCAGGTTTCTTTTAAACAGTAAACACTATGATACTATGTAATCCTTGGTTCAATCTGTGGGTGATGAATTGCACATAGGGAGGGCCTACTATGAAGTTGCACTTGGATTTCAACTGCATGAAGGGTCAGCATCCCAATCCCTACGCTGTTCAAGGGCCAAATAGACTGTTTAAGCATTTTTTGCATTTAAATTCATAAGAGACATTGGTCTANTTCCTCTTCATTTTCTGCCATAAGGGTGGTGTCATCTGCATATCTGAGGTTATTGATATTTCTCCCGGCAATCTTGATTCCAGCTTAACTACTCCCATGTCATACTTCCTCTTTAGTACAATCCATAACAGTGACTCTTTTAATAATGGTCACTTGTACTAAAATGGTTTTCTGTTTTAAAAAATTAATTTTTCATGGCCAGAAAGATGACCACCCTCTCACCTGTCACACAGCACACATTTGTGGGGAACCTGGTGCTCAGCCATTCATAGGCAGTGTGCTTGGGGTTTCCTGTAGAGCGGAGCAGCTCCCTTGCTGTGATCAATCCTTGATACAAGGGATACAGTTTTTTAAAAGGTTAATTTTTTCTAACTGTAAAAACTTTTATTGACTTTAAAATGTTTAGCACATATTATGTGGTTCCTTTTTTATTCACAGATATTTTCCAATTTATCTCTGGATGAACGTTGCCTTTCTGCATCATTGGTGTGCAAGTACTGGCGTGACCTTTGTTTAGATTTCCAGTTTTGGAAGCAGCTGGATCTTAGTAGTCATCAGCAGGTATGGATTCTGATTCTACAAAAACACTCAATCTGATCTATTAAAAAAATATCTTTTTTCTTCTTACAAATCTTCTTTCACACTGTAGTTTTTCAGGATAGTTCAAATGACCAAAATCTAGAATTCTGTGCTTTAGTAATTTTTTTTTTTTCCAAATTCAAGTTGAAGCTAGGTTTCTATGATGAATATTTCTTTAGTTTGGATTTGTTGTTTTGGGTTGCTTCTTAATCCTCTTTGTTGTAGTCCTCTTTGTTTCCCCCACCTTATTATTATTTTTTTCTGCTGCTTAAAAAAAGTTACTAAACTTTTCATTTTTTGGAGAGATAATTAGTAGACAGTGATGGCAAACACTTAAATAGTACTGCTGACTTGCCACATATGTACTGTTCTGTGAGTTTTATGTATATTCATTTGATCAACAACCTTATGAGTTGATAATATCATTATCCCTATTAATAATTTATTATACTTTTGATGATAGTATTCTTATAATGTTATTTTGCATGAAGAAATGGAAGCAAAATGGAATAAGTTAACTTACTTTGTTTTAATTTTCACTTTGATGAGTGTTCCAATTCTCCCCGTTGCCCAGCTGCCCATTATGTTTATATGATAGTGTCATTTAAGAAAGAAAGTAGTTTATATTGCCTTATTACAAACAGTTGGTTGGATTTGTTAAATTCTTCTTTGGTTGTCAATACTTGGCATTGGAAACATAAAAAATAGCCACTGAAAATAGGATTTTATTAGAGTACTAAACCTGCTCTAAACCTTCCATGATATTGTTAGTAGTGATGTGCTGGTGAATGTTTTAACAGCTGGCTTTCAAAAACAAATGAACAAAGAAAAAGCCCCGATTTGTTACATTTTCCAGTTTTTGTGGTACAAATACTCTCACCACGACCAATTTCAAACTACCAGTGTGATGTTACAGAATGTAATGCTATCACTGATGTGGAAAGTGGTACATATTCTAGATTCTGATTTGGTACAAACCAACTCCAACATACCACTGGTAGCATATGTGTGTGTTTATAACGTGTACTGTAAACAAAATAAATAAGTTCCTGAGCATTTGTTTTAAGTTTCCTTTTTGTTTTCCTGCCTCATTGGTAAGGGTTAAGATAGTTATACGATGTTTACCTGCCTGAGTTCATGAAGTTTGTATCCAGGGGGAATGGTGAATATTTAGTTAGTTGTGGCTGAGAGTGTAGAGAGAAGTAATGTGAAGTAATCCATTGGGTTTTAACTTCCTTAGTCTTGAATATGGGAGCTTTTTGTTCCAAACTCAGAGTCAGAATAGCTGGTAGGTTTGGAGGTTTAAAAAAAAGGAAAGAAAACAGAGAAAGAGGCACACTGTTGCCAACAAGTAGAAACAAAGAAAAAAAAAAAGAAACAAAGGTGGTTTCAGCCTTGGTTCTTACTCCTTGTTAACCCTCAGTCAGTTCAGTTCAGTCGCTCAGGCCTGTCCGACTCTTTGCGACCCCCTCAACACTCCCCAATTCTTTTCTTCTTCCTAAATTTAGTCATGTGTATTTTCTCTCATCATTATTTTTACTCAAAAGACTTTGAATAATGTTAACTCTGTTTTATTTTTTTTTTTGAAATATGATTGGGCAGGGAATGTGCGGTGGTTGCTTTTAAAAATTGTTTAAAAAATTCAGATGGTCCTGTGAGTTTTTCACTAGATGAATTTTAAGATTACTTATATTTAGCTTTGAGTCTTCTGAGATAAGCTTTTTTTTTTGTAAATGGCCTTTGTATATAGTCTTTGGTCTCCTAATACCCAGGATGATATATTGTGTAAGCTGTGGATTTAATTATATGTAATGTATTCTGATAGAAGTAGTAAAGCAATTGAAATTTATATACCGTGGTAGGTATCATCTAATATTATGTGTAAAAAGTCAAGATTCATGCATCATGTTGACTGATACATACCATTTGTTGGGTAAAGAACCAACTCACAATTTTAATAGTTTTTTTTCTGGGGAGTTTTTGGTGAATTTAAAGGTTTAATTAAAGTGTGTTTTCCTAATAAGGATAGATTTTTAAGCTTTTATTGAAAAACAGGACATTATATTATCACTTGGTGTTTCTGACACCAAATGTTTGCTTTTTTCTATGCTGACAAATTCGCTGTTGCTAACTTGGTATTCCACCAATTCAGTTCAATTCTGCCACTAACTCCTGGAGTTAGTACAGACCTTACAGTTTAAGGGCTCAGTCCCATGACTGTCCCCACTTAATATACCCGTCACAAGTCCTGAAAGTGAAAGTGAAGTCGCTCAGTCGTGTCCAACTCTCTGTGATCCCATGGGCTGTAGCGTACCACACTCCTCTGTCCATGGGATTTTCCAGGCAAGAGAACTGGAGTGGGCTGCCATCCCCTTCTCCAGAGGACCTTCCCCACCCAGGGATCGAACCTGGGTCTCCTGCATTGTAGGCAGATGCTTTACCTTCTGAGCCACCAGGGAAGTCTGGAGCCACCTATACTTCTGACTGACCATCTTTAAAACTAGAAGTTCCCCATGTCCCCTGCTCAAGGTGATAATTTGCTAAAGTGATCAGAACTCAGGAAAATACTCATGTTTACTGGTTTAGTGTAGAGGATATACCCCAAAACCAGACAAATGGAAAAGATGCCTGGGGCAAGGTTTCAGGAGAGAGGATATGGAGCTTCCCTGTCCCTAAAGCCACATCACCCTCACAGCACTTTAATATTCACCAACTCAGAAGCCCTCCAGATTTCATTGTTCAAGAGTTTTTATAACCCACCTCCAGCTGTCCTCCCTTCCCAGAAAGTCAGACTATGGGACTGGAAGTTTCCGCACTCTAATCACACGGTGTCTGATCTTTCTGGTGACCAGCTCCCATCCTAAAGCTCTCTGGAGGCCCTAGCTTAAGTCATTTCATTACTGTAAACTCAGGCATGGTCACAAGGGGCTAAAGAAAACAAAAGACATTCCCATCACTCAGGAAATTCCTCGGACTTTAGGAGCTCTGTTCTAGGAACTGGAGACAAAAGATCAAATATATTTTTAAAATCATATGACAGTTCTCATTATGCTTTAATATTAAGAAGTTTTTCTTTTTGATTGTGTTTTTCATGCTATAATCTGTTATATATTAGAAAAAATTTAATGAAAGAATAGAAAGTAAGCTTCCATTTTTAGCAAAGCTTTAAATTTATTGCTTTTTTTCTCCCCTCTCATAGGTCACTGATGAATTATTGGAAAAAATTGCATCAAGAAGTCAAAATATAATTGAAATCAACATTTCTGATTGTCGCAGTATGTCTGATACTGGCGTATGTGTTCTAGCATTTAAATATCCTGGACTTCTTAGGTATACAGCTTACAGGTGTAAACAGCTTTCTGACACCTCTATTATTGCAGTTGCCTCTCACTGTCCTTTACTTCAGAAAGTTCATGTAGGCAACCAGGACAAACTCACTGATGAAGGACTCAAGCAGGTAAATTTTAGCGTCTGTAAAGTGGTTTTGCATGTGTTAATGTGCTTTTTTGCAGCATCACTTTGAAAGATTTTTATGTTAAAAGTAATACTCAGGGAATAAGTCATTTTTTAATGTATCCGTGAATATTTGGGTTCATGAACTAGAGTGCTATGGCTATAGTGTACAGACTAACTTTGGGTGTTTTAATAAGTGCCTGAACCTCTTTGACCAGCCATTTTATTTCTTTATTCTTTTGTTACTTAAATTTTGTACTAAATCTGCTTTATGTAGGAGCTTCCCTGATAGCTCAGTTGTTAAAGAATCCGCCTGCAATACAGGAGAGCCTGGTTCGATTCCTAGGATGGGAAGATCCTCTTGAGAAGGGATAGCCTATCCACTCCAGTATTCTTGGACTTCATTTGTGGCTCAGCTGGTAAAGAATCTGCCTGCAATGCGGGAGACCTGGGTTTGATCCCTGGGTTGGGAAGATCCCCTGGAGAAGGGAACAGCTACACACTCCCAGTATTCTGGCCTGGAGAATTCCATGGAATATATAGTCCATGGGGTCATAAAGAGTTGGACACGACTGAGCAACTTTCACTTGCTTTATTTAACAACAGTATGCAGTTTGGGTTATCATGAGCTTTTAAAAATTAACTTTTAATTCCTCTTTTATGTTACTAGGTGAAATGCTTACATATTTTAAAATATCTTTTAGATGCAGCTCCAAGTTAAGGAGTATAAAATGAAGAAAAAGATGGTAACTACCTATATTAGGCACAGTAGTTGGTTTAAATAAAGTATCATGTATTTTCTGGTTGATTCACTTTCTTTGGAAATGGTGTTTAAGGTTTCTTGTCTCAAAGTGACTATTGAATGGATTCTATGTGCCAGTCCCTGAATTTGTGAATGTTTTGAATATTTAGTAATATTACCACTATTGTCCTGGGCACTTTTTGTGTTTTTATATTTAACCCTTGCAGGAACTTTGTGGGAGTTGTTGATATTGAACTTTTTGTTTAATTTTCATTTTGTAAAGGAAGAGATTAAGTCTTAGAGAGGTTAAGAAACTTGGCTAATGTTTGGCAGACAGTGGACCTGGGACTGAAGCCTGGATTCCCTGAAGCCCTGCTGCCTTATTATCTTTCTGGTTTTCCATGCCAATCAACTGTAATCTGCTAGACCTCCAATAAGGGAACCTCTCCTTGAGGGCAGAAGCTATGCACATTTACCACTCTACACACAGTGCCCTTGGCAAACATTTGTTGAAAAAAAGAATTAATTATTAATAATTCCCTTTAAGAACTTTGTCAGAACAATTTTTTAAATTCAGAATTGAGATGTAGTCCAATACTTCCTAGTAAAAGCAGAATATCAGTGAAGTCCTAGATTTAAGTCTGATCTCAGATTAAATCAGAAATAACATNCTTCCTAGTAAAAGCAGAATATCAGTGAAGTCCTAGATTTAAGTCTGATCTCAGATTAAATCAGAAATAACATGTATATCCCTAAATTTAGACATTATATATGGATTAACTGAAAACTCAGTACTAGAAGAAATTTGGAAAGTCTGTCCTAAATAGTACTGGGTTTGTTAATCCAATTTACACATTAAGAATGCTTCAATTTATAAGGGCGCCTATTTTATCTGCAAAGGCTAATTGTGCAGTAACAGTTTCTGCTATCTACAGGATTACTCACTAGCAAAACATTTTATACAGTTATTAAGTCTATTAAAACAAGGTAAT